TGCTCTTCTTCGTCGTCCTCGACGGTGGAGTACGAGTTTGTGGCAACGAGGGCCTTTTGCAGCCTGATGCGGATGTTGAGGAGGCCGTCAAAGGTTTTGCGCTGCTCGCGGACGGCGAGGCCCTTTTGGGCGTCTTGCTGCGCGGCGGCGGAGATGGAGGCGGCGAGGACCTTGGAGCCTTCGTTCATGAGCCTGCGCTGCTCGGCTCTGGCGTCGGCTTGAGAGGACTTGCCGCGAGGCTTGTCGTCTTCGTCGTCGTCGTCCTCAGAATCTTCCTCCGATTCTTCATCTGAGCCCAATTCGTCTTCCTCGTCCTCGTCTGACCCTTCCAATCCGTCCGTCAGACCTGCGTTGTCATCTGAGTCGTCCATCTCGTCGTCCTCATCATCCAATGCAGCACCCTCGCCGTCCTCGTCGTCATCATGTTCCTCCTCCTCTTCCTCGTCGGAGATGAAGTCAGCAGCGGTAGGTCTCTTGCTTCGGCTTCCCTTCTTATCCTTGGGCTGCGAGCTGCCGCGGAAAGCAAAGGCCTCGAGCTTCTCATCGTCGCTCTCGCCGAGTGCGTCATCGCTCGAGATCTCGACGTCTTCGTCTCCGGCGGCTGCAGTGTCGGCAGCCAAGTCGGCGGCGTCCGGGTCGTCGTACTCCTCGCCATTAGAGTCTAGGTCCTCCTGCGCGTCCTCGAATATCTCGCTATCATCGTCGTCGCTCGACTCGTTCAGTGCGTCGCGGCTGACGCGAGCGCCGCGGTATTTCGGGCCTAGCGAGACACCGTCCTTTCCCCGGAGTTTGCTCTTGCTGTGACGGAAGGTTAGTTCTCCCCCAGGCTAGATATGCATGCTTTCTGTTGAGCGTGTATCGTACCCGACTGCGACATAGTGCTCGGTGCCCGCATTCTCATCTGCGCTTTCTTCACTGCCGCTGTCGTTTTCGCTTTGCTCGACAGGCTCAGCCTCAGGATCGAGATCTAGAAAATGTCAGAGTCAGTACTGTAATGATGTGCTTAGCAGATTTTTGCATACCCTTTGCTGGCTTGTCTTCCCAATCGGATGTTCTTCTACGGGCCGACATCGTGCATGTGATTTACGGCTTGTATGGCAACTCGCAGAGGGACCTGCTGCGCAATGCTAGGTGAATTTTCTGGGCTTCAAGAAACTTTTTGGTGGTGAGGAGCGGCAGAACCAAGAACCCCACCCAGGAAGTTTGACGCATTATGTAAGCTCAGCTCGTGGACCCCTGTACAGCTGGCTGCCAAAGGTGGTGTCGGCATGTTCAGTAATACTCTGGGACATGCTTGATGATGAGGAACACTCAATCTTTGAGAAATAAAGTGATTCAAGCCAACGGGGATTAATTTTGGGACTTGAGGAACACCTCGTAGACTCCAATCTTCAAACTTCCGACCTCTTGGACTTGGACTCTCAAAGCCCACAACCTGTAAGATGAATGATGTATCGGTGTTGGAAGCCGATTTCGTGTCTACCTATTACCTAGCTGAACGGAAGGCAACCCTCCATTTCCGGTACTCGGACAAGCACAAGGCAGACTCCTCTTCTGGCTAAGGATCTGAGAGTTGATACCACGCCCTTTAGCGGTTCAGCCTCGGTTGACGACCTGGGCAATGGGTGGAATGCCGTCATTCGAAATGAAAGCCTCGATAGGGCGACCAATCATTCAAGGATCGCATCACGTAAAAGTGGACTTGATGAAGATAACGCGTGACCGGACGCTCAACCGGTCACGTGAAGGTCAGCGGGATTAGCTGAGAGCAGGAAAGCCCCGATACCCGAAAAAAGAAGTGAGGCTAAGAGCCTAAGGGGGGGACAGTGAGGTACCCAGGTACCTGCCTGAGCAAACAGGGGAGAAAATCGCCATTACTCGCCTGCTCCCCATCGCTCAACAGTCGCTCACGATCGAACGCGAGAAACAAACAAAAACAGGTCCGCCGGGGGCCTCGCCATGCGCAATGGAGCAGATTGATGCGCAGGTCAGCGACTTGCGCTACTTGACCCAAGCAGCCGTTCCTTTGCCGCCTGACCGCGCTGCCAATGCCGCCGCTTATTCTCCACACAATCACTCTGTCCATTCCCCCCTTTCCGCGACCCCCGGAGACAATTCCGCACAACAACCAGGGGCCTCCAGAGGTGCAACTCAAGTTGGAACGCCTGGCTCAAGCTCCGTTACTGGTTCCAAGAGGAAGTCAGAGGATGAGAGCAATGCTGCTAAGCAGCAGAGAAGCAAGAGGAACCGGGTGCGTAGTCTTTGCCGCTGTCTATGCGTCGTTCCGTCTTTACCATTCATTACCTTAGCTACCCATCGTCTCCTTGTTCTTGTCTTTCTTCCCCTGTGAACACCTTTCCCGCTGTGTGCCATGTCATTGATAAACTTTTTGGAACTCCAGAAAGCTAATTGCCGCTGTAACAGTACATATCCATTGCCTGGTAAGGATACCTCCGTCCCGGCCATGTCTTTGGCATGCGCCCAGCCGAATACCATTGCAACTTCTTCTCCTTGTGGTCGGAGAATCTTGACCCAACCGTCTACCTACACAAATCATTGGCTGTCATAAGCTCCTCCAAGTCTCTAAACCCATCTGTACAAAAGGACGAGATCACTAATTCGGCCCACGCTCTCTCCAACAGTAACGAATGCAAAAGACGCAAAATCAAATGCAATGGCGAAACTCCCTGCCAACGATGTGGCAATCTCAACCTGCAGTGCCTCTATGCCCCGAATTGCTGCTCCAACAGCTTCAAGGACTCGGACGAGTACAAAACCATGACGGAGCAGATGGCCCGCTTGCAAGAGCAGGTCGATAACCTCTATCAGAACATGAATACCCTCCGATCTGAAACCCTGCGTCTGGCGCCCATCCAGGACAAAGTATTGCCTTTCCCCTCAAGCACAGTTCAGGCCTCCCCGGCGAGCTCGCTGTCTCCTCTCCACCGGCCTGAGTTGACCCAAACGAAGCAGGCAACTTTCCGTGGCCCAACAAGTATGGCTTACAGCCTGGACATCGCCAACACTACCATTCACAATATGGGTTACAAGGGCATTGGGGAGGATGAACAAGGCACGCCCCTGGGTGTACCCGAGGACAGTCCTTTCCGCATGCCTCCTCAAGAAAGCCAAATTGACCCCTTGTGGGACTTTGGCAAGGACGAGATGATTCGTTTGTGTCGCCTACATGACGAAGAGGTCGGCATCATGTATCCTGTCATCAAGATACCGTCAGTCATTGAGCATGTCCGTCACCTGACGGCTTACATGGAATCAGCCCGAAAGCAGGGAATCACGCCAAACCTCAATGATGACAAGACACTGCAGCTCAAGATCGTCATGAGCTGCGCTCTTGTGGTGGAAGAGCACGGGCATAGTGAGAAAGCGTGCAAGCTCATTGACAGCATGGACGCCGTTCTCAATCGGAAGCTCATGGTCGAGGCGGTCGACTTTGTGAGTCTTCCAGCTTTGTGTCTTCTCGCTGGATACAGATTCTTGGCCAACGAGGAAATCCTGGCATGGCGCGTAATGGGCCAAGTCACCAGACTGTGCTTGGAGATGGGCATCCACAGAACAACCGGCATCTCCAAAATCAAGAACGAGGAGGATAGGAAAAATGCGTTGAACAGTTTCTGGTCGGCCTACGTTCTGGATCGGCGGTGGGCTTTCAACACTGGCTTGCCGTTCGTCGTTCCGGATGAAGAGATCGATCCAGAATTACCCATGCCTGTGAGTAACCCTGTTCCAACATGGAGTATCTGGGCGTCACTTTACTCACAGTTGCAAAGGAAGAATATCCGTACTTGGTTGCTATGATCAGCTACTCGAGGTTGGGAGCCAAGGTCTGGCGTCAAGTCACAGACTTTGGCCCTGTCCTAGCCCGTGAGCTCCGCCATGAAGACATGGAGCAGTTAGACCAAGAGATCCTTCAATGGTATGAGAACGTACCAGAAGAAGTCAAACTACGCAATTGGGATAAGGAGAAGCAAATGACCTCGACTCCGTCGTATAACCTTCAACGCCTGCGCATTTGGACATATCTCCGGTTTAATCAGGTTTGTGTTGCTATATAAGAGATTGCGGCCATGACCTTGATGCTGACTTGTCTGCAGATCCGCATCTGGCTGTATACACCAATTCTGCATAGCGCAACTAGCATCATGGGCCACTTTGCTCAAGCTCAGCGTGTAGTTGATCTCGCGAAAGACACGATACGCTATCTAAGCCATCTCAACAACACCACGAATTTGTATCGTAAGATACAAGTATTCTACCACCAATTTCTGACATCGGCAATTTCTGTTCTCTTCCTGGCTTCTGTCCATGCACCAGTGAGGTTTAGCTCCACGTGCCGAGAAGAGTTCTACATGGCCCTGGAGCTTGTCAAGGACCTCTCCGCCAAAAGTTGGGTCTCCCAGCGGCTATGGCGTACCATCAGTTCCCTCAAAGAAGTTGCCCCAAGCATTGGTCTTCGCAACTTGCCAGATGAAGATGCGCACAGCTCCGCGGCTCTGACAATGGCTGGACTCGCGAGTGGCGGACGCATGCCAAACAGCCCGGCGGGGATTGCGCCTTTCGGACGCTCATCCACAACGCCAACGATACCCCAACAACAAACGCCAAACCTGGATACGGCCCAGTCACCAAATAACGGAGTCCGCATTCAAAACGAGATGAGTCGCATTTTTGAGGGATACTTGGGGCTCAACGGCTTCGCATCTAATGGGGACGATGGTTTCGGTGGCCAGTCTGACGCCAGCATGCCGCCGACCACTGCTGTATCGAACCCATACGTCGAGAATGTCTTCAACCACTTTAGGGAAATGTACTAGTGTTTATCGAGCAGTTCCTTCACATCCCATATTTAGTGAATCTGTTGATTTCATGTATCTAGCGGAGACTTAGCACCTGCTTCCATATCTACGCTGTACATGTTGCATGGCATCAATACCAGCTCATTCTGCAACTGTTTCCTCAATCCTCTTGGCTAACCACAGCTATCATAAGCCGAACCACTTCAAGTCCTGATCCTCCTGAACCGGAACAGTGTGTCCAACACCTTGCGCAGAGTATCCCACGAGCTTAGTGCCGTCTCCGTAAATTATTTGCGTGTATCCACTGATGGGCGTGTTGGTGTTGTTCTTCGCAAAGCTCACACCGTGGATGGTAGACCACTCCTTGAGCTGCTCAGCCAAGTTGGGATACTTGACAAGGGAGTCCGCCGTGCCGTGGAACGTCTGCACGCGCGGGTAGCTCCCGTTGTAGCCGGGATACATGGCGCGCACCTGCGCGGCCCACTGCTCGCCCGTCTTCACGACCAGCCCATTGGCGCACGTGGGATCGGCGCTGATGGGGCTCGAGCCGGGCGAGCCCGCCAGACAACCCGCCGCGACGCCCGAGTAGCACGAGGTGGCGGCGAAGAGGTCCGGGTACGTGGCCGTCAGCACGTTGGTCATCATGCAGCCCGACGAGCTGCCTGTGACGAAGACGCGCTTCGGGTCGGCGCCGTACTGGGCGATGGTGTAGCGGATCATGTTGGCTAGCCCCGTGGAGTCGCCGCCGCCGTCGCGGGTTAGGCTGGCGGTTGTGGCGACGTCCCAGCAGTTGAAGTCGCGGGAGGAAGACGGGTAGATCACGACAAAGGTGCCCTTCGCGTCCGACAAGGGAATGTACTCTGCCTGCCGGCTATAGGCCGCGCCGGAGCCGCCGCAGCCGTGAAGAGCGAGGATGATGGCGGGGGAGGCGGACAGGTTTGGGGGCACGGAGATGTCCATTGTCAGACCTGTTGGGTTTGAGCCGAAGTTTGTGACGCGCTGGAGGGCTGCGTTGGCTTGGGTTGCCAGCGGGAGGGCGGCGACGAAGAGGGTGAGGGGATGCATGTTTAGAAGCGTTCTTGTGAGTAGTGATTTGCGGATCTTGATGTTGCACAAGCTTGTTCTAGATGGAGATGCAGAGATCAGATGGAAAGTCTATCGACAATGAGTTTGTTTAAATACAGGAGATTTGGAACCTTCGAGTCCGATTATCAGAAGTCAGAGACATCTCTCAACAGCCGTTGTGACTTGCCTAAAGTCCAGGGCCTCGGCTCAATGCAGAAGACCAAACCAAACGCATGGTAAGCGCCTCCCTGGTATAGTATCGTCACATCAAAGAGACCAGCAAAGAGCTCCTACGCAACACTTGTCAAGAGGGGAAAGTAAGTCGGGACTCGGGACCGTGAATATACGCAGTAGAAAAGGCAAGTTCAAGGCTATAAAAGGGGAAGGTTGCGATTTGCTGGGTTGAGGTTGGTTGGCAAATTACCCCTGAGTATCCAAGAATCTGAAAAAGCGCCCATAGCTTCGGCAGCGATGGTCGGTAGTCGGGGATGTTCCATCTTGGCTCTTGTCCTATATATATTGCGGATCTGCTTGGCTTTCTGGCGGGATGATAGGTGAGATTGGTGGCCAATCTAGGCGGAACCAGAAAAAGAAGGTGTTGTTTTCGTCTCGTTTTGGAGAAGGACCGTAGCCAAGTGAGGACGATCCTCGGTTCGCATAACCCCGCGCGGGCAGGGGTACCTCGGTACGCGTATTAGATTGAGGTGGTATTCCGATTTTAACTAAGTGACGGACGAGACTGCTGTGGGAGAGAGTTTAGAAAAAGCAAAGAAACGATTAAGTTACAGCATGGACATGTCGCGGGAAAGGCCCGTCGCAAGTAGTCCGATCGGCCCCGCCCCCCGGGCCCGAATATCGGTGGGAAGTGGGGATGCTTTTCGGAGGACTGGCCCTACCTACTGCTTGTCTCTGTCGATCCATGAGACGTCATCCTAGGGCCCTGTCATGTTCACGAGGCCTTACCTTGGGGACCGATTGACATCTTTCGACCCTCAAGGTCCTTCAATGTCTTTGGTGAACCCGACCTTTGCGGAATCCTAGATATAACCTCATCGCAAGGTAAGGTACATTACGGGAAGGTCGAGGTAGCCGGATGATCTGCACCATGGCTGCGCAGGGGTCCTGCGAAGGAGTGCCTGCTAGCGGAACTAAATAAGGTTTATAAGACTTCGTATGACGAGCATCAAGCACTTCATGCCCAGCGGTCGTGAAAACTTTCTCCGTTAACATATTCGGAAGTCGTGGTTGGTTGGTATCTCCGAAGCTTGCAAAAAAAGATATACAATGACCCAACTTATCTGCAGACCAAATATTCAAACGAAAACATCATCCCTTCTTCGCATGTCAGCTGAGTCCTTTCTTCTAGAATCTGACACCCATACTCGACATCTTCTTGTGTATATCCAGCAGCGTTACTGCAGCTAGCAACGATAACTACTAATAACTATTAATATCCTCTCGATTAACCACCTACCTTAAGAATTCCTACGAGACAGATCATCGCCATGGAGACCGGATTAGCAGTCACAATCGCCGTGCTCAGTACGTTAGTAGGGAGTGGCATACTCTACGGTGTATACAAATGCGTCGTCATACAAAAGGGTCCCGACCCGGACCTCGAGAATCCCTTTCCGCCGGCGTACTGCGCGTATCAGATGCCGCCGGTGCAATATCAAGCGCCGGCCCCAGCCTATCAGCCTCCGGTCCAGTACCAACCGCAGGTTCAGTACCAGCCGCAGGTTCAGTACCAGCCGCAGGCTCAGGCAGGCTTGGTGCCGGCTGCCTTGGCAGCACTGGGGGCCCTGTGGCCGCAACCTCCGCCTGCTGCCGCACAACGTCAGTTATGGTGATCCCGTCTCCCGTCTCCCGTCTCGCCTGGCGTATTCGCTCGATAATAAGACTAGAAGACGGTTGGAGTGGCATGCCGACCTTTCACTCTGCAACTCAATTTCAGCTATCGCCCAGCGCGTCCGAGCTCGCCGACTCCGCGGCCCGCGAGCGGGCCCAAGACGAGCTTGATCGGCAGCTCCTGACCAAGACGAAGTTTTGGGATCTCGACACCCTCGAGGAGGAGGATCTCGACACCCTCGAGGAGAACGCCCGTCTCCTCCAGGAGCACCACCGCGCGGCGGGCTACCACGACTCGAAGACTTTCAAGGTGAGTGAGCGGGAGGAAGGCGATAGCTGCCGGCGAAACTTCATCACAGAAACTAACAACTTATAAGGTATGGCAGAAATCGGCCTCACCAAGTACCGACGTCTACCTGCATAGGAGTCTGCCTCAATGTCAGAAATCGAATTGCACAAGTGAATCGGTTGTACGTCAGACGGACATAGCCGTTGAAAAAGGCGCACCATGAAGAGAGGATGGGAGCCGAGAATGCGGCTCGCCAGCCTGTCTTGCACGCTCATAGGTGCAGAAGAAGGCAAACGGTGCAGCGGCAAGGATTCAAGCGCGACCCATCAGACTCAGATGCCGGGCTGACAAGTGGCGGGCAATGGGCGCATCATGCAGCCCAGATTTCAAGGGATGGTGTCGCGTGTGGGCACGCTCGCTGTGATTTGCGTGCCACTGCATGGCTCAGATAGGCAACTCAAGTGACCGCAGCCAATGGGTGGCTCTCTTATGTCAGATTCAACCAACAAGGTAGTGAGATAGTTGAATACTGAACAGTAAGAGCATGTGATTGCAAGACAGCCTCAATGTTACTATTCCAAGTCAAGTGAGGAATTATTGCTTCTTCTGACAGCCCGTCGTCAGCCTCCTCCGCTAGTGCCAAGGGCGGGCCGGATTGTGCATCCGAAACACAGAGAGGGCAGGCGCGCGCGCAGGTAGGCAGGAGGTACAAAAAGGCAAGCGAATGTCCGAAATTCTCGTCGGCCTTGAAGTAATCCGAACCCTTCAACATTCCAAACCTAAATAAACCTGGTGAAATTTGTACGTCATCGCAGACTGCGTCACGTCCGTCCCTTTCCTCGCCATGGCGGCCCCAACGACATCGGCGCACTTCGTCAACGTCTATCAGTCTGTCGACAAAACCAAGCGCCCCGTTACCACATCGCTGGCAGTCGCGAGATCACCACGCCCGCCATCGGGCGACACCGAAGAAATTATCACGTAACAGGGATAGTAATCGTACCTCACGAAGTGCCCGTTACGTGCTAAATTACATATCTATCTCAGATATCGTATATATAGACCTTTTCCTTTTATCTATTTCTACTTTAATAATTAAGCTATTTTTATTATACTCCGTATACTTATTACTACGTACTATAACTCGTAATAATTATAAGCCTAGCTCTTAATTAAGACCTTATACTATAATAACGTACTTATTAATACGATTTTTATAATCTTTTTAAAATAACTGACTTACTTATACTTATTTTAGCCTAAACTAAATTAACTAGTTACGATAATTAAATTAAATAGTTTAATATACTTCGTATTATAAATAAGAGCGTCGGGGTTTAAAAATATGTTGACCTAAACGCTCTAAACTCTAATATATTTTTTAACCCCTTTATAGTACTTACTTTGCCCTCTAAATTCGGATAATTAGTTATAACCCGTAATAAAGAAAAATTATGAGCTTATTAGGCCCGTTATAAAGTATTTAAAAATAACTAAAGAAACTAAGAAATCCTCTATTAATAGCTTCTAAATATAACTCTTAGTACGAACTTTTTAATTTCCTTAAGTATAAGTAACTTATAGGACTAAGCTAGGTTTTTTTTTATAAAACTAGTTATATTACTTACTTTATGTAAATAAATCTATTTTTATATTATATTTATAAAAAAGATCTATATACTTAAAAGTATTTAGAAATAATAGGAACTTAATACTAAATACGAGTAATTTATAATTTATAAACGTAATACTATTAATACGTATATTAAAATCCTCGCTTAGTAATTAGTAAAATTAGTTAATACTATACTATACGAATACGTATTCTAAAAAGTTACTAAAAATAGCGCTAAGTTTAGTATATAGCGAATTATTAAATATTTAAAATAAGAATTTATACCCCCCGAACTAGTAATAAGGAATACGGTTCGAAAGGAATACTAATAAGCCCTTAATAAAATAAGGACCGGAATTAACCCCTAACGTTAGTATTAAGAATAATAATTTACTTATTTCCGAGCTAAAATATATAATATTTTAAAAATTAATAAAGAAATTGCCGTACTTAACTTCTTAATTACGGTTAAGTTTAGACTTAACTTTATATAGGGCTAACGTATATATAAGACCTTTAATAAATTAATAGCTTTCGGAACGTATATAAGGACCCTTAAGGAGATTACGTATATATTTAGCTTAGTAACCTAGGACGTATATATTAAATAACTTTTAAGTTAAAGAGGGGCTTACTCTACTTTTACTAAACGCTCTAACTTAGTTAATAACGTAAATAATAAGGGTAACGTTATATACCCTTATAATTATATATACCTATAATACCCTATAGTATACTAAAAATTAAAATAAGTATTTATAAGCCGAAACGCTAGTAAGTTACTAATACGAATACTAAAGAGCTATATAAAAAAAGTCCTCGCCGCTATTAAATTAAGTAAATAGAAATTACTCTACGGTAAGCTTAAAAAAGCTAGTTAGTTAAAAAATAATAATACTCCTAAGAAACCTAAGTTTTTAAAAAGATCCTCTAATTAACTTATAGCGAGCTTATTAATAAACTAGGATAAGGGCTACGTAGTTACTATATTTATAAAGAGTTAGGACTTAGAGGTAAACGTAATTTTTAGTACCCCTATAAGTAGTACTTACCCCCTTTCTTAAAGTACGGTAATAAATAGCTATAAAGTAATATATTTAGTTAATAATAAGAGCCTACTTAAATCTAAGAGTTATATATTATTAGGTAATAATAACTACGTTAAATTAAGAACTACTATATTACTTATTATTATACGCAGTACTCGTATTATAAAGGGCGTTTTAAATAAATTTAAAAAAAAGGGAACCTACGATTTAAAGCTCTAGAACGTTATTTATATCGAGGGATTCTATATTAATATAGTTTTAAAAACTTTATTAAATAGAAATGCACTCTAATATTACGGTCTAGATTATACTTTATAATAGGGAACGCTTTATAAAAGTACTATTAAAAAGTAGCTTATTTAAAAAAATAATCTAATCTTCTTTAAATATAAGCTCCTCTAATCCTATTTTTCTTTTATAAACCTTAAGCGTATCCTATAAAGCCTAGCTAGTATTATACTACTAATTAGCTATAGAAAATTCCGACGCTTATATTAACGTACTTATAAAAAGTCTAATAGCGCGCTCTTCTAGTACTTTAAAATAGGTTATTTCGGACCTAATACTCTTTATTAATTATTATATAAAACTCGAAGTATATATATTAAACCTTTATTATAAATTAAGTATAAAGTATATATATTATCTAAAGCTAAGATAGTAGTCTTAAGAAGACTACTTTTAAAAAGAGCCTTACGGTTATAGTACTATATATATTAAGATCTCTTTTATTTCAAACTATCTCTAAATAAACGATAATATATACTTATAATTTTTAATAAATATAATAAGTAGCTTAGGGGGTTCCCTTTAAAAACTAAAATAAAAAAAGAAGTACTTTTTATATTATAGAGCCTCGAGGTAGCGATTTATTATTAAAAAAGGACTCTAATCTACTTCTTTAGAAATAATAATAAGACCGCCCTCTTAATTATAAACGTTAAATACGTATATAAAACGTAATATAGCGAGCTAAAAATCAAAATAGAACTTTTATTTCTATATATAAAAGAACCTATAGGTAATACTAAAAAAGTAGGTTAACTCGTAATTACTAAAGCTTATAAAATACGCTTTTTTATAAACCTCTCTATAAATTTATAAAATAAAATAGTATTAATAATAATTTTTATTTATAATATTACCCTATAAGAGGTTAATAAAGGAGATTTGCTTATTATAATAAAAATTAATTAGTAAAAGTGGTATTAACGCTAGTAATAAACGGGTTATTAAGTACGGGATTCTAAACCGGTTACCCCGTATTTTAGTAATCTCTATATATATAGCTACTAAGTATACCCTCTTTATAAGGATTATAAGAGGGGTATATATTAAAAGGAGTTTAAAATACTTCCCTACGGGTATATAAGATACCTAGTTAAATATATATTAAAAACGTATAACTTATATAGGGTTTAGGTACCCGTGCTTAAGTAAGTATTTATTATAAGGAATATTAGGTTTAATAAAAAAGTTTTTTATAATCCCGTATACGAGGAGTAAGCTATTATAAGCGAGTAAGTAAATTTAGTAATTTATGAAATATAAAAACTCTTTAATACTAACGATAAGCTAGTTTGAGTACTCGGGGAAATAGATTTAAATTTTAAAAATACTAGTACTTAAAATAACTCTATAATCGAGGATAGTATTATTATTAGATTTTTAACTATTTAGGATGCTAAGTAATTAATAGACGTACTCTAAGGTACGGTTAATAAGGCTAAAGAGGTTAATATAGTTTTATTATTATTATTAACCCCTAAGATAACCCCCTTATACGAGCTCGGGGGTAGGGGTAAGGAAGGGGATATAATAACCGGGTTATAAACGGCTCTATATAATTTATAGTCCTCTTTATAAGTACTTATATATACTATAAAAGTTCTTAAGCTTTTAATTCTTAACGGCTTTTAATAAAACGCTAAAGTACGTAGTAAACGAAGTACTAATTACGAAAAAGTAATTTTTAATATTAAAATTAACGTTAATAAGGAACCCTTATAATAAACCTCTATTATTATATAAGAACAGAGCTTATAAAAACTACCTTATCGAGTACTAAGTAAAGCTTTGTTAGGTCCTAAATATTTAAACCGGGCCCATAGACCTCTATAACGCTTTAATAATAATATCTTCGTAATACTCTTATATTTAAATATAAAAAATAGTAATTACTATAACCGTTTCTAGGATTACTTTTTTTTTATTTTTATACTTAATTAGTAAAAAGCTATAGAAAAAAGTAATATAAAATATATAATATTCTATTAAGTAATAAAAAGAGTAGTTTATAAGACCTACCTAGAGCGCTCCGGAGGAGTTTAAAAACTACGACTTACTAAAGTTAACTTCTAAAGCTTACTAAAAAAGTTTAGTAATATTAAATATCTCTTATTATAACTATAGAAGCTATTTAGGAATATTATAGATATAAAAATAAAAAAGCTAAGGGATATTAATATATAAAAAGAGGTCGACTATAATTTTAAATAAGGGATCTTATTTTTATTAAAGTAGGTATATACTTATAAATACGACGTTAATAACGAGGTTAGTGAGGTAAAAGTACATATATATATAAAGAGGGATATATAACTACTTAACTTCTTATAAAATACGTACGCTTTAATACTTATTATAAAAGCCTTTAAGCTTATAATAATAATAGTTACTTAATTTAACTTTAAGGTAAACTAGTATAATACTATTAACGTATTCTTTAATATACCTCTTAAAAGCGAGAAGTTAGTAATTATTAAACTCTTAGAAAAATATAAGGTTATTAATAAAATAAATAAGCTTTAACGCGCTCTATATAACCTCCGAGACTTGCTAATTCTCTAGTTCTAAACTTTTACCTTTATACTTCGTAATATAAATATAATATATAGCTACGAAGAGATCTATATTTACTAAACTATAAATAGGAAAGTAATATTAGTATTTTACGTTAACGACTTTATTATTTTATACTATCGAGACGACCGAAAAGCAGCTTAGGGGATCGTTAATAATATAAAAAAATATATTAACTTTAAAAAAAATAGACCGATTAATTACTTTTTTAGAGTACGGATTTTATAAAACCGTACTACTTATAAGGTTTACTTTATTTATAACGTATATATTAAGTAAGTTACTAAGTACTTCGACCTTATAAATTTATTATATTTAGCTACCCCTCTTCTTTAAGAAGAGTTTAAACTAAATAAGGGGTAAGTAATAAAGGAGGAAATAAAGAGTTACTAAGAGAAAGTTAGGAGTATACTTTATATAGCTATTATAATTAAACTAAACGTCGCCTTTACTTACTCATAATTATTACAGTTCCTAACTAACCTAAGTATAACCTATATTAAAATAATTAACTACTATATCTAATATTTCTATATAACGAGATATTTTATACTCTATTATAGTAATATATTAAGTACGTAATTATTATTTTTAATTAGAAATACTAGCTTTATAAATAACGAGGTAATACGATAATTATTTTAGGGATATATAATATTCTTTTTTAATAGCCTAATTTAATAGAAATTAGCACGCTAAGTAACGGTTACGACGTTAACTACCGAAGCTAAGCTTTTTTATTTTAAGGAAACTATAAAAAAGACTATAGCTTTAAAACGCCTTTTTAAGAATATTACCCTTAACCTAGGAAAAGTATAGTTAGTTAATTATAATAATTAGTAAACGATTCGACTCGTTATAGGGGAAGGAGAAAGAATAGCTACTTAACTTTACTATATTAATATATAAAATATATAACTAAAATAAAAGTACGCTAGAAATAGTTTCGAGGTTATTTATATATTAATAAAAAATATATTAGTAAATAGACTTATTAAAAACCTTTTACGAACTAAGTTCGAATATTTCTATATACTTCTTAACCTTTATAATGCACAAGAAGCTATTATAAATAGCTAAAATAGTTAAAAATAATTAATTTAGGCTATATTTAAAAAAACTTAATACTTAAAGGTAAATAATAAACGGAACTTAGAGTGCGGCCCGGAGGCTTAAAATAAATAAAATAAAAACCTCTTATAGCCCGAAGGCCTAAACTCCTAAAATAACCTTACTTTATAAAGTATATATATATAAAAATAAGACCTAGGCTTATATTTATTATTTAAACTCCTAGTTTATAAAGTATATAATTACTAAGAATATAGCGTTATTAAAGAGGAGGGTTAGTATGCGCGCTAAGAAACGTATTTTACGTACTTTAAAGTTTATAAAACTAAGAGTAATAGGGGTAATAGGGGGTATAGGAGCTAAAATAATTATTAAGTTAACGACTTAGGGTATAAAAGCGGGTAGCGTAATAAGAGGTTAATTATAAATAATTATAATAAATATAAAAGAGGACTAGGAGCGTAAGTTAAAAAAGTCCTCTATATAAAAGCTAATATAGTTCTTATATAACCTCTAGTTTTTATTTATTTAGTAAATAATACTACGGAGCTTAGTAATATCTTATTAAAACTATAGTTAGAAGTACGCTTTTTAATAATAAAAAAGGATAATATATTTATAAAAAAGGGAGTACTACTTATAATAACCTCGGTAAAGGCCTAGGCTATTAATTATAAAATAACCAGGATATTAATATACCCCTTAGCTAAATAGCTATTAAAGTAGCGCGCATATTAACTACTACTTCTTATAAAATAATAATTACTATCCTTAGGGTTAGTATACTAAAAGGCTACTTTAAAATAAAATAGGTACTAAATCTCCTGTTCCTTAAGAGCCTCTCCCTTAAGCTTTTTAAGGACTAAGTATACGTTAAATAGGCTTAGAATAATAAAAAAAACTATACTTATTACGGGGGGTACTTTTACCTCTCGGCATTCTTTTTTACTTCTTATTACTTTTTTAAAAAGAGCTAGCCTTACGTTTTTTAAACTTTAAAATAATATTAAATATAAACTCCTAAAATAATAAATATATAATATACCCTTTTTAGAGGGCTTATTATTTAAATTAGTCTTATCCTTATTTTTAAACTCCGAGGGGGGGATAAATAAAAGCCCGTTAGAGCTCTTATTATTATTATTTACCTTATTATTACCCTTATTACGGCCGCTAAAAAGAGCTTTAAACTTAATAAAATCCTCGGTATTTTAATAAATAACCTTAATATCCTCCTAGTTAAAAAGGGAGAGCTTAGTAACCAGGCCCTAATAAGTAAGTAAAAAGTCGTAGGGGGGGGAGATAACCTAGAGGGGCTCGTTAGTATTATTACTTATCTAAACTCTTAATAAATTATATAATACGTATATAAGAAGTATTATAAAAATTACGCAAAACTTATTATTATTTTTAAATATATTAAATATTTATATTTAAAATAAAATTAATAAACGATTTAATAATATAAGTGCGTGCGCGTAATAAACGGGGGTACTTATAATAACTATAAGAGGTTAAAAAAAAAAAGAAAAATAATAACTAAGTAACGCTACGAGAATTTAAATATACGTAAAGCGGCTAAGTAGCCTCGCCCTTAGTAATTTATATACTAAAAGTAGTATAATACGTACTATTCCGAGTTAGGATTCTATTTATTTTAAATAAAGGGATATATTTATAATAAACGTAGTTTAAAAGATACGTATCCCTTACGCTTATTTTTCTTTTATTTATATTTAACTAAATTAGGCCTTTATAAGGGTATTTAAAGATTTTATTTTAAGTATAATAGCTCCCTAGTAGTAGTAATTAGGGGGTATATTACGTAATAAGAATAGTAATCGTACTTTACGAAGTGCCCGTTACGTACTAAATCACGTATCTATTTTAAATATCGTATATATAGACCTTTTCTTTTTATCTATTTCCACTTTAATAGTTAAGCCACTTTTACTACACTCCGTATACCTATTGCTGCGTGCCATAACTCGTGACAGAAATCAAGGCCACGCTGCCCGAATACTATACTGCACCGCCATGGCGCCTTCTCTGGGATGATTTGGTGCTCTTCATTAGATGCATCGGGTCCATCCCCTTCGTCATCACTCCCCTATGGTATCCTCGGCGAGATGGAGTCCGATACCCAAAGCTCGACAAGTCATGGGTGCCGAGATGGCTCCTATGGGGCCCCATCGACAGCGCCATCACGGCCATCCAAACCTGGTATCAAGGCAAAGTCGACCCCTACTATCCCTCCGGCGAGATGGATGAGCTGTATCCTTCGGTCGGAAACCTTTGGTGTCTCTTTATACACGGTATCCTCATCGTCACGCAACTGGCTTTCTTGATTTCACTACCGTTCCTGGCTACCCTTCCCTTCCAGTTCTTCGTGCTGTACGTCGGCGGATTCATCTTCGTCAACTATATCTTCTGCTTACAGCTCAATGCCGGAACCGAGAACAACTTGCTCAAGTCTCAGCATGCTTTGTGGCCAGAGGCGGCTAAATGGAAGTCGCTGGACCCCAACGAGAACTACAGCGAAGAATGGATCTTTCTTAACGGCGTGTCCGTTGGGTAAGCGCACCTTGATCACACTGTCTTGTGAATATGCTTCTGACGGGAGGCTAGCTCGCATTGGCTGCAGGGGAATATCAACAGACTATCACGCACTTTTCAGCGTCCCATCACCGGTGTCCATAACAGAACGTAGGTTGTACCAACCTCTGACTTTAGGTGCATCCTTCGCTCAACCAAAATGCCGCAGGTCTGGAATCATCTTCGACCTTATCCAGTGTCTCCTGGAGCGATGCTTCTACTTTGGTACCTCGGACACCAGAACTTGCTATGCGCTCATCACAGCTGCCCTGGACCCTGCGCAGAAGAAAGACAAAACAGTTCTCATCCTTCACTCTCAAGGTGGCCTTGAGGGCAGCATCATCCTCGATTGGCTCCTCTCCAACTACCGCCGAGAGACCTTGCATAAGCTGGAGATCTACACTTTCGGTAACGCTGCCAACCACTTCAACGACCCCGAAACTTCTAAAAATGAACACGTTATTGGGCACATCGAGCATTATGGCAACACTGGTGACTTTGTATCCCAATGGGGAGTCATTCATTTCAAGTCTCTGGTTGCCGAGCAAAGCAATCCTCAACCAATGGATGGAAGGCATCCTTTCTTGCCCATCGTGGATGACATTTTACGCCTTGATAAGAGACAGAACACTTTTGCTGGACTACTTTTCGAGAACAACGTGTTGGGTCACCTGTTGAACCAGCATTATCTCGACAGACTGTTTCCCTTGAATGAAACCCTCACTGGCGTCGTAGAGAGAAAGGAGTATTTCATGGCCAAGCGTATGAAAGCTGGAAATGGCAGTTGCGACGTCGAAGGGCACAAGGTTTGCCAAAAGAGCAGGCTATGGGAGTATATCAATGGTGGAAAGCCTAGAGAGTATAATTTGCAGCAGTCGTTGACATGAGGAGATAAATCTGATGAGTCCATGGGATTCATATCGGTATTGTGGTAAAATGGAGGACTTTTGGGATGAGTTTGCTTCTCTGTGCCATGTGCATGGCGAGAGTCCGGAGTCACGGGGTGTAATGGGTAACATGGGTACATGGAAACAAAATTGTTTGACTAAGGGTATTTTAAAGTATTCATATTAAGCATTGAATACTACTGAATAGACATCGACAAAATATTGGGCAAGACCCCTTAATTCCGAGAAACAACCTCGAACCCTACTTTAACAGTATTAACGTAGTCTTTTGCTGTATGAATTTAGCAGATCTGAAAGAGAGGAATAGATCCAAAGATTCCTGTATGCTTCAATCCTAAAGAGATGCACCAGTCCTCACTTTTAACACAAGCACGGTAGGCCGGGCCGGTTAAGCCGGTTGCAACGATGACTCCTACACCGCGATCAGCAATTCCAGGCAGCAACGAGTTAAAGAACCCGATTTTCGCCTGGTCAAAGTAACATTGTCATCAACCTATGGAACTTTGGAACGTCTAAGAGCTTCGATTTGCGTTTGGGAAATAATTGCTCTCAATGACAGGAAAGAGGACCACAGAAAATACTACAACTCATGATCCAGCCAACAACGAGTATGGCTTTAGCAAGGGAGCATGACCCCGGTACAACACCTAAAATACCCTGTCCCTTCCAGAATTTGCCTTTCGATATTCATTATCAGATTGCCGTTTACCTAGAATACATGGACATTCTCAAACTCTCAGCCACCAATCACTTCCTCCACGACCACCTCAACGTACAAACCCTCATACCGAAACACCAACGGAATCAGTACCTCTACAAGACGGAGCGTTACGGCTATCGCTACGGGCACCGCGGGTTTGGAGGGCGATGGCCGTGTTACGAATGCGGTCGTATCCTAGAGAAGAATTGCTTCGGCGACCGAATGCGGAGGTATGAAAAGTCGTGGTTCCGGAAGTCGTTGATGATGAGGCGGTGCTGGGATTGTGCTGTTCGTGAGAAGTGGTATGGGCACTTGCAGCCGATTAAGAAGGGAGGAGAAGTGTTTTATCTTTGTTGGCGGTGTGGGAGGTTGTGGAATGAGATGGAGGAGGATAGGTGCCGGAAGGTGGATGTTTGGATCAAGGTTGATGATGTACATGGGGAGAAGGATCCAGGGCGGAAGTGTAAGGTAACAGTGTGCAATGACCAAATGTGGTCTCAAGATCAAGTATCGAGCATTGTGCAACAAGGATGGATAAACTTTTTGTGAATAATTTAGCCTCAAGGGAAGGATGAATATACGAAGGGAATGGCAAGTCGTTTTCTTTGAGTACTGCAAGTGAAGAGCGCTTGACCTCTCTAGTGCCAACAAGAAACAGAACTAAGAGGTTTGATCAAGGTTTCCCGCACTCAACACTACCCTTACCCACTAGTGGACTTAGCTTTTGCGTGACCGGCAGATTTGCAGGCAGCTCGAAGCCGATGGGGTCTGCGGAGAGCGGGTTGCAATCTAGAGTCTGGGGACTAGCAGCCTGGCAGGGCTTTGGTCTTGTCCCACCCGGAATGTGGGAGAAACCGTACCTCACGATGCTTCAGAAGGGCGGAGCCTAAGAGGATCTGATCTAATCACGTCACTCAATGCATTAGACAGGGCATTGATTGATCTCGAACACCTGTGCTGGTATCTTCTAGCTTCGAACTCTGAAAGAACATCTCTATATCTAAACATACCGCAAGCAGACCCTCGACAGTGAAACTCGGTTGCGCTAGATGCATATTACACCGTTTCGTTGGCCACCTCGAGAGCTTTATCAGCGACGCTGCTTTGTGCTCTTCCCGTGTCATATTCCTTGTCTTCATAAGGCTTAGCTCCCATGTTCGTCCAAGCACGCTCGATCATTAGCGTAACTTCCTTTTCCTTTCCGCGGAAGAGCAGCTCTGTGTCCCCAATACCGAAGGCCGTAATGGATTTATGCTGGGTAGCATTAGATGTGAAGCTTCATAGACTGTAGAAAAGTGTTTAGGATAAAAACTTACGAGACCCAGCGTCAGCTTAATGACGCCGTCTGCCCAGTAGTGCTCGTAAATGTTGGAAGGCTTCTTCGACTGAAGGGCAAGAACGAGGTTATCCGCGGCGTAGATGGCCTGCTTCATAGCGGCTCGGGCATTGGGGTTGGTGACGCCGGCCTCGGCAACATCGCCGCACACGTAGATGTGCGGTAGCGAGTCGACGTCGATTTGCATTGTTGGCTTGACCTTGATCCTGCCTGACTTTGCGATTGCCTCGGGAACGAAATCGCTGATGAGCTGAGAAGAAGGTTGCTGGCCAGTGGCGTTCACCTAGACGTCCGAAACTTGTTACAAGGCTACCCAGAAAATGGAGCTTCAAAACTTGGCTCACCATGAAATCGCATTCGACTTTTCGCCCAGAGCGAAGTGTGACGAAACCATCCACGGGTGTTTCGGATGTTGTCCGCTCCCCGAGTATGACTTCGATTCCTAGATCCTTCAAGCCCGCGAGAGCTCCAACCTGCAAATCATGACCGAAGCGGTTCATGACTGCGTCTCTAGAGTGAATCAATGTAACATTCTTGTCCGGGTACTGGTCTTTAGCATCCGTAGCAAGCTCGACGCCTGCAGCGCCCCCGCCAACAACAACAAGATTCTTGGCGGCTTTGATGCGTTGCTGGAAGCTTTGCAGCAGCTTGATTCCTTCAGCTTTGCCTGTTGATCCCACTCTTGACGGCAAAGACATGCCCACGCCCGACCCTGTCGCGATGACCATGTACGAGTATGGAATCTTCTCTCCCGTGCCTTGGATCGTCACCGTATTTTCGGTGATCGTAGAGACGCGATCATGAACCCATCGTACAATCTTCTCCGAGCCCGCTGGCAAATAGGGGCCGTAGGGAATGAATGTTTTGTGCTCATGTCCCTCGACGACACAGAAGCGAGGCAACGTCCAGGTGAATTGCCAATGTTGGTTCGGTTCGACGATGATGAGTCGGTACGGACCGTCTGTGGGAAGCGAGGTTGCGATCACCCTGGCAGCATGATACCCGGCAAAAGAAGCGCCGATGACTACGATGTTGATCGGCTCGCCGTTTTTCGATGCGGGACCGGCGGGGAGTTTCTTGGTGGTGTAAGATCGCGAGAAAAAGTCCGCGTAAAGCCGTAGCGAGTATCCCACAAGCCTCACGAAAAGGACGACCTTCCTGATTTTGTCCATCGTTGAGTCACGGCCAATAACCGGAGTCCGCGGGCTTGTTGGTGGGAAATAGTCAAGGGAGGTGTGGTACAATGATTATTGACAGGATCCGATTAAGCGGATGGTCTCAATACTTATCAGATGCATCTGATTAGATCAAAACAGGCACTGGCCTCGTTTAGTAGCGTGTTGTCATTCGGCGGACGAATCGGCTCTGAATTGACCGATGTCGCATCGGCCGACGCTATCCCCGGAACTGCTCAGATTCAGTTGTTGGTTAGCACGCGAGGCGGATTTAAAAGAGACAGCTCCTCGGGCTTTTGGTACTGACCTCGGCCTTAACTTGACCTAGAGAATTTACAGTGCCGCTGAGCATGAGATAACCAGGTGTTACTCTACCACAACTTCCATCGTCCCTCAAGAGTTCGGGCGCTAAGACAACGTGCTACACTTTTGGGACGGTTGTGAGCGTTTATTACGTACAAACGTCTCCGCCGGAGGAGAATCCCTCGCCCATTTTCGTTCTAAGCTCTAATGGAAAGAAACTGCAGCGTTTTCACCACACCCGGTACGAAGATCCAAAGGCGGCTTAAGCAGCTCCGTGGGCCCGTACGGCCAACAGGGACGAGATCTTGCCGACGCCGGTGCCCCTGTCCCGGGACAAGGAGCCTAATTTCCACTCCGAGAACCGAGCCAGGGCCATCCAAGCAACGAGTCATGGTTCTCCATGATGGACCTCGCGTGCAAAAGACCCTTTGAAAGGGAGGGAGGGGAGCATTATCAGACAAAATAAACATTAGAGGAGTCGATTGCATTTAACCAAATTGGGGAATTTTCAAGCATGCTAGAACACCGATATCAAATACAAGGTCCCTCCAGTCTTCTCTCAGACATGTACCTCCTGAACCTGCACCTCCACAGCCATGGTACCATTGCTAGCCTTCTTGTCGACACCAATCATATCGACCACGGAAGCGGCCGGGACGCTCTTGACCTCATTGAAGGCAGGGTACCCGGCAGCACGCCACTCCTTAAAAGTCATACCCCCCGCGCATGCAGGCATCTTGACCATGAGGGGAACGACTGTGTCTTCCGGCTGTCCCATGAGCTCCGCGCTGTGAACAATCGTTTCGTCCAGAGTCTCGTAGCCCATCTTCTCGTAGAGCTTGTATGTGGAAGGGGACGACTCAAAGTACAGAGGGAGACCCAGGCTGTCGCTGAGTTCCGCTCCCCACTTACACCAGAGGGCACCGGCCTTTCTGCCCTGGTGCTTGGGATCGACCGCAATAACATGGGAGTCTGGAAAGAGAAGGTCGAGTCAGTCTTTTTTTTGCCAGGGTACCCTTTGTAGGTTTCGTCGACTTACAGATGTAGCGGCGACCGCCAAACAGCTTCTCTCTAGCTTCGTGCAGGGGGTTGAGAACAGCCTCGGCTCGCTCTCTGTCTTTGCCTTCGAGCCAGCCAACACCATGGTTCTTGCGCTCCTCTTCGGTACGCTCTCTGAGATAGATGTCGCCCAGGGCCATGCCCACGATCTCGCCAGTCTCGGTGTCGACGCACTTGTAGGTGTACTGGCAGTCGCTGTGATGCCACCAGGCCAACGTGCCAGCGGTGTGTGCCTTGCGGAATTCTTCAGAGTCTACGCCGTTGGGGAAGAGAACTTTGACCATGATCTCTCCCATCTCATCACCAGTGAAGGCACTGAAATATGAATCGTAGACCTTCTGGATGTCGGGAATCAGCGCTGGCAGAATTGCGTAACCCATGTTAACTGATGTTCGAAGCCAATCTTGTTCAATAATGTTTGAGAGATATGGATATGAAGTATGTCAATATGAGTAATGGAAGATGGCAAAGAACGATGATTTGAGTTATCTTTTGGGGTTATAACTCTGACCGAGGACTGATTCTGGACTTATATATGTTCACTGTCCCTCCTTGTACGGAGTAATCCATGTATCTATCATCTACCCATAATCCAACCCGTCCAACCACTCCGATGGAGTACGATAGAGCTTCAAAGTCAACCCCTGCCCTACTCATGCGGAGTCTCCTCCCGACCAACTTACCAAAGGAGGTAAAAATGGTCTAGTCTCGCCCAGACCAAAGAAGCCTCCGGCTCAACCAACCTACGGAGAAGTCTCTGCGATGCGGAACTTGAAGTCTTCGACGTGGACCAGGTTAGTACGGAAACTCCAAAGGGAGTTGCCAGTGGGCCAGTCAAGTTGCTAAGTTAGCGAGCACTTCGGCGCGATTCCACCTCGTCCAAAGTCCAGACTCGTTTAGAGTTATCAGATCCGCCATTCTAGCAGCAAAAGTCTGCTCGCGCCCTCGTGTTGGTCCCCCGCTCTGCTACGCCCTAGACCCCTGAGGATGTTCGGCCAAGTGTTGATGGCTGCAACCTTTTTTGCGGACTCTCAGACTCTGTGACTCGATTTCGCCCACCCACCCAAATGGGCGGGACAGCTATGAACTCATGCAGACCCGACATACGAATGAACTAGCAAAAGACCACTGATCCATGGCCAACGTGTCTGTGGAACTGTTCCCCGCCGTGTCGTTGCCAAGCTTTAGACATATAGCTACAACCAACAGCTGGGCCCAGCGAGTGTAATTCAAGGTACCTCATGTCTTGCCTTGTGCGGGCCTTGTGCGTGTTGGCATCCACATCATGATATTAAAAAACGATTGGTTCCAAAGCAACCAGACTAGAGTGCAGTCTAAAACTTCCCAAGAGGAACACGAAGAACCCTCAACGGTCTCCAAGTACCTCATAAATGAGAAGTATCACGAATTGCCTCGCTTAGAATTGGTGGCGCAAACGCCACAAATCCAAGTCAAAGTTCCTCGCCGAATTATTCTCTTGCACATGATGCCAAGTCAAGTTATCAGATCCGCTCTGCTACCCCACCACCCTCGTTATCTGATCCATCCGTCCAATCCGGCCTTCGGCATCGTGGAGTCCAGGCAAGGTCCTCTACCGGAGGATCATCTCAGCGTAGACTAGTGGCAACGCTAGACAAGGGAGGTTTTCAGCCCTGGGGTTGCATTTGTCTAACCGAGGGCTAGACATGGGGGGTCCGCAACTTGCAAGAGTCCCTTTGCATCGTGGGAAATGACTTGGCGCCTTCTTTCTTCGGAACAGACCGAGTTACTTCGCATGTGGCAATCGGTTCGTCTCAAGTTGGAGCAAGAATGAGAGCGCGTTCAAGGGGCACCCCTGATGGGCATGGTCTGACTTTTCGCCTAGTCTGGTAAAATCTACCTTTTGACAAGAATTGATCACTAACATTACTAAAGAAGTTTGTAAGTCGCTACTCGCGAAAGTCTTCATTACACATGTAGCTCTTCCTTAGGCCGAATTTGCTTCCGTAGGGCGTAGCTGATGGACGAGAAAAGTGGCCGGGAGCCAAGCTGCAGAAGAGAAACGCATGATAGGCTGCGTCTAGACTGATGCGCACACTGCGTGCGATCGGTTATCCTGACATTGACATCTCCGACCCACTAGAGCCTTTAGATGGGGATCCATCTGAAGGACAGAGGATGGAGCAAAACCTTGGTGCAGGGTCACTCATCGCCGGCTTGGCATTGCGGATGCCACACGGCGCGGCTAGAACCAACCTCGTTGTTGGCGAATCCATAGTCACATGTCGCCCTGGCGAGGCGGTCTTGTCGACATGGACCGTGGAGAGGGCTGGATAGATTTCCGAGGCTACTTTCAAGGGGCTGCAGGCAGAGGATCTTTGCAGCACCTACATGACTACATGACCGCGCACCTTGCCCTCCTCGGCGAACAGGAGGCCTGAAGTGAGCATTTGCTTTGGGAGCTGCCAGCCTGCATTACTCAGTGTTGTCTTGACAATGCTAACGTGAGCAAGCATTTGTTGGTGCAGTGCATGTACCTCTCAGGTACTCAATAACACTTACTTGAGAGCAACCAAACTCTGAGTCTATAACTTGGACTTTGGTTATGTACTGTTTTTGCGTAATGTCCTGTCAATTAGCTGGCTTGATTGCTACCTTTGTCCACAAACACGAGCCAGCTCACTCCCAGTATGCGCATTCTGTAGATTGGTGACATGCCTATTTGCTTCACCACCTCGTCAAGAATCCAAGACCGAGAACGAGAAGAGTTTGGTAACGCGACATCTTCGCCACGCCAAAAACTAGTTGTTCTTGGCTAGGATACGTACTTCAAAAGACTCATTCCCGTCCAACGTCCTCCGAAGACCGGCTGCAAATGATCGAACAGTGCCAGTGTATCTTCCTCCTCGACTCCAGAGATGTCATCATACACAAGTAGCTTTGATAACACGTCCTTCCCTTCTTGGGCTAGCTTTTCCGCATCCTTTGACATCTTGCCACCATTCCGCGCTTTCAATATTTGGGATAGATGGAACTTGGCTCTCGCGGTCGCAGCATCTGACCAGACACTTTTCCCCGGCTTACCTTCAGCTTTCTGCAAGGCGTTGTTGACCTGCCACCTGGCATTCTATTAGTCAGGACGAGATTTCAATTACACTGAATTAACTTACTCGGCGTCGTTCCATCTTTCAAGATAGGAATACAATGCACCCACAGCATACTGACTTTGTAAAGTAAAGTAGCTGTCTTTACCCTGAAGCCTGATCCTCTCAGCTAGGATAATCTCATGCTGGTCTAGGGAGCCCTTCAAGTCGCCACTCTGCAGCACGATGCAGGCAAGGTCGAACTGAAATCGCAGAACAAGCAACTTGTCGCCAAATACTTGCATGAGTCGAATAGCCCTCTCGGCAAGCAGGATGGCTTCCCCGAAATCGTGCCGATACATACTACAATAAGCCATGTGATGGGCAAGCTTTGCAAAGGAGAAGGGATCCGATTCTTCAGAGGTGATGGTAAGCAGTCGTTCATGACAGCCTTTGTAGATCGACTCGGCAGCTTTGAAGTCGTTGCCCTGGAGCAATGAGTTGGCGTAGTCCGCGAAAGCGTTGATGACTCGGATCCTGTCCACATCGCTGAGCTTGCCTGAAGCTTCCAGCTGCCTTGCACGATTTTGGTTGAAGTCTAGTATCTTCTTCGCCCGCTCACTAATTTCCTTGCGACGGGAAATACCAAGATATTGGAGCAAGAGGTTCATTGTAACGTGGATCTCAGCTCTCAGCTCATCGTGATTCGTTTCCAGTTGGTCCAGGATTCTCTCTGCAGCCAACAGAAGCCGCATGGCGTCATTTCGGAGGAACCTTTGCCACAGAAACACTCCGCCATCCTTGAACAACTCGGCAAGTTCGACGAAAGGTGTCAAAGCGATAATTGTGCCCTGATCGGAATAAATCTTCTGGAGGGTCGCAACATGTGGCAAGTATTCCTTGAAATGGCTCCATTTCTGTTGGTCTGGGAAGTCCAAAGAGGGCCGCGGGAGCCGTCGACGGACCAGCTCGACGGTCAGTTTGAACAGCTCCTCAGCTTGTCGAGTCTTCTTGTGAAGCTCTCGGGAGATTCTGATCTGCACAGATCGGTGAACGATGTACATCTTTTTGTTATCTTGGATCTTCTCAGAGATGAAGTGCTTGGAAATCAACTGACTCAAGATTTTCTCGATCCTGAGGGAAGTTAGCCAAAGGATCACAGCAACAATTGGGGCTCGTACCTGAAGGCTTGTAAATATGGCGGCCCACTTTGACCTTTCTCAACGACCAAAAGGTCTTTTGGAACTCCGTCGCTGTCTAAGAAAGACAATATACGAAGCACCTTGTTTGCATCGCTGCTGAGATCCTCCGTGGAAATTTTCATGATTGTGTCAAGCTTCCCCTTGGTGGTTTTCTGGTCTTCTGGACCAGAGCCTGGATTGTTGTCCATCCACCACGAATCCCAGTAGGTGGCAAACTCAGACGGCTTACAATTCATTGCTTTCATGTACCCAGTGATCAGAACAATTACCAATGGCAAGCCGGCTAGAGTTGCCAGATCTCCCGCGGCCTTGTACTCGGGATCTCTCAGGGAGTAACTGGACGGGCGAAGATCCAGGGGAAGCCCGTGAAGCAGAAGTTCCCTTCCCTCCTCCGTTGGCAGCTCCTCGAGTGTCTTCCGATAGTAGTTGATTGGCCTTGATGGTGCTGTGAGCCCTTGGTATCTCGTGGTGATCAGAATACTTCCTGTTGTCGCTGATGTTTTCATCGGCGTGAACCCGTCAATATTTTCCCACTTTTCCACGTTGTCGAGAACCATCAACCATCGCTTCTTGGTGTTTTCCAAAAACTCACGCCCGATTTTCGTAAGCTCCTCTTGATCAGTGCCAGGTGCTGCTAGGTCTAGTACAAGAGCAATCTGATTGAAGGTTTCTGAAGCACCAACTTGTGTCTCAGCCTGAACCCAGAATATGTACTCGAAAGACTGCTCGTATCTGTATGTGAACTCAGCGGCCAGAGTTGTTTTTCCCATGCCACCCTCGGCACTCAGAACATATACCCGGCCAGGTTCTGATAGTATCTTGTAGAGATTGGCCAGCTCTTTTTCACGTCCTTTGAAACCTTCATCTTTGGGAAAGGTTCTTGTTTCGACAAGTGGAAACCTCTGTGTCGAGTCAGTGTCAGATCGAGGTCGATGAAGGATTCGTCCTGAGCTTTGTTCGACATGGCGGCTCGGACGAGTGCCATCACTCATCAACTCCTGCACTCTCCAAGCACCCGAAGAACCGGGTAATTGACCCCCAGCTGCCCTAGAGTAGTCCGATAACGGTTCGTCCTCGTCCGAAACATCAGCGATATCGTTTTCATCGATGTTTTCGGCCGGTTTTGGACGTTGTCCGAACTGTGCGCCTTGCTCTTCAGCAAAGGCATGCAGCATCCGTAGTTTAGTTCCCCTCTCGGACATGGTGTCGCTAGCGCTTTGAGACATGATATCGTCGCTGTCATCTTCTTCCGTAGACTCCTCCCCACACACAGCTGTCAAAGCCAATTGCTCCAAGTGCTCTGCTATGTGCTCCTTCATCTGTGCAGGGTCCAAAGGACACGGACACAGCGGACATCTTTCTCGCGAGAAGGCCTCGCGAGAATGAATCGGCCTTAGAAACGACACCATTTGAGTAGCCTCATCCGGTGAGAAATCAGTTGAGTGTGACCTCAACAAATGTTGTTTCAGGTCTGACTTGGTCTTGAACTCCTTCTGACAAGACTCACAACTCCACACCTGAGGTATGAGATGGCTTCGTAGCTCGTGTTGATACCACTCGTCACGCGCACCGTATGCTTTACGGCTCCAGTCGCATTGGTCAAAAGTGCAGAGATAAGCGAGTAAGTCTTCAAATACATGAGCTTCCCAATCTTCAGTGGTTGTCAACTCTTTGTAAAGATTGACCTCAAAACAGCAATACGGACAGGTGAATGGCTGACCATCCAAGGATCTGGGCGGCAATGGTACTTCTCGATGCTGAGGCCCCTGTATAAAAGGCGGTGGATCTGGCTTCCGAGCTGTGGACTGCGCGTAAGAAGTGAAGGATGCTGCACGAGAGAAATGGGGACGAGAGAACAGGGACGGTGCAACAGAAATCTCTGCATGTGATGAAGAGCTGTAGTCCGAGACAGAGACGGAGTCGTGCTTGGGCGGTTTTTCCGGAGTCTCTTCAATTCTAGGGATCGATGGTTTCGTGTAATCGCTTCCGCCCTTGAGGGCTGGCTGCTGGAAGTTGAAAGCGTCGACAGCGACATCACGCCGGGGGCCCTGCCGAGGACCAAGTTTAGAGATCTTGGCCTTCGTGCTCATAGCAATAGCCCTTCTCTCCCGCACAACACGCAGGGATTGTTGTCGTCTCCAGTTGGCTCGTCCAAGCCTTTCGATTAAGACTTTTGATGCGCCAGGAAACATCGATCTAGTCAACTCTACATGGTCGCTCAATGGATTCTCCAGTTGGTCGCTGGAAGCATTCGAGCCTCCAGAACCGCCATTTAGGTCTTCCGGGTAAGCCTCTCTCAGAGCAGGATTGAGAGACTTAAGTTGGTCCAGTGACTCCTCGGCACAAAGGAAAACCTCTTGGATTTCAGCAGCTATACGTGTGCCTTCGGTCTGCTGCAGCGGGCTCGCTAGACCCAATTCATCGTCAAAAGAATGTTCGGCCAAATCTGTGTCGTTCAGTTGGTAGGCTCCGTACTGAAGAGCTTCAATGTCTAGAGATAGACACTATCAGTCAGCAATGTGGGTAAGATGGAAATAATTACGATGTCGGTGTAGTAAGGGGTAATCACCTTGCTTCAATTCATCTTGAAAGACATTCAATAGCGCAACAACTTGATCACGAAGCCTTTGGTTCAGCCGCAGACTTCGATCCAGATTGTAACTGGAGGCCCCGATGTCATTGCCCCAGGTTTTGAATGATGTCAAGACTTGATCGGCAATATCAAGTTCGATCTCAGGGTGGTTGCTCTTGAAATTTTCGCAAATCGTGCAGACGCTTTGTAGAGTTTCACGACACTCTTCGAACTTGGCTGCTATTAGGGCCTTTTCGCCGAAAGCTAATTTCCGGTCTTTCCCAGAACGTATGGTAGCATACACTGTCGATGAGAAACGAGGATACATCATGTGACCACAAACTATCAAGGTCGATTCAATAGCGTCCGAAGCTCTGAAGTTTGAAAGACCTTGGACAACATCAGCGAATGGATAGGGTGCGACTGAAGGTCAAATGATGCTAGCGGGTTCGCCTTGGTAAATGGAGAGGCGGTCATGCTAAGTACCTGAGTATGCCTTGGAGTCCTCCACCCCGGGATCAGAGATGGTGTGTGAGGCAGACTGCTGACGTCCTTCAACAAAGAAGTACCGTGCTTCATACGCAGCACAGAGTGCAATGCGAGTATAGCCGAACAAAATCGCCCATTAGATGCACTGTTTCCTAACACCCTCCCGCCATGCGGCACGAAAGAAGACTTGAGGCTTGGATGCAGTAAGCATGCCGGGCAACTGCAGTGCTCAGACACATAAGTCATCGGCCAGGCCTCAAGAGTACAACTCATCCATACATTACCACTACCGGAAATGATGTTGACTTACAGGGGTAGACGATGGCTGCTGTGAGCCGAAGCGATGGCTCCGGACCCAACGTCAGTAGCCAAATCAAGGCTGCGTGGCTTGGATTCGGACCGTGTGATGAAAGTACCCCGCTCCTAGAATCCTCGTCACCGAATGCCTCCTAAAAGATTGGGGGTGGGGGCCGTGTGTAACCACATGTGAAGGTCCGATCAGGCTGCGATTCACAGGTCCTTTTCTTCCTGTCTTATGTCCAGTTGAGAGATTTAATCATGATAATCCTGTCCGAAATATTGTCCACTCCAAAACATCACTCTTCTTCCACGCCGCGTGCCAGCATTCCACCATTGCCAAGCCGAATTTCGAGGGCAAAATGTCAGGCGTCGAAGCGGTAGGCCTGGTCCTCGGTCTATGGCCTATTATCACAAGTCTTGTCAAAGGATACAAGGCAACTAAGGATGGAGATGACGGCAGATCGTTTCTCCTCAAAATTGATATCCAGCAGACCATTTACGAAAGCTGTGTGAGACAGCTTATCGAAGAAAATGAGGAAAGTATTGACCTTGACTTGACGAATGCGAAAATCAGGCAACTCGACATCTCATTTTGGCAAAGACCATCTTTCCGAGTGAAGCTGCACGACCGTCTTGGGTCAAGAGACTTTGAGTTGATGGAGTCTGTTCTGAAGCAGATCGAAAAAACGATGGAAAGCCTACGCAGCCAACTTGAAAATGGCCAAGCAGACCTTGTAAGCCCATGTGAATCCTTCAACAAGTACAATCACCCTAACTAAGGGACCGGATAGACCGCGACTGGCACGAGGCGAGGCCGAATGAGGCATCACTTTCACCAGATAAGAATTAACATGCCGCACTCGGAATTTCAGAAATCATTCGAAAAGCTGAAAGAACACAACAGGGAGTTACAGCAGCTCGTTCAGGTCTTTGAACAGACGCAAAACAGGCCCAGGTGGAAATCTCCAGCTTCAGTCAGGAAGAGACGGGCTCCAAACATGATGAGAGCGAGACGCGTGGCACCAAAACAGATAAATGAATTCTCCCGGATTCTCGAAGAGAGCTATCATTGTAGCTGTAGAGGTGGGCACGATGCAGATCTCAACATCAACGGGGACGCTCAGTTCCAAGTGTATTTCCATGTTGATGACGAGACCGGAAGGGCCTTTTCGGGAGCCTCCCTAGAGCCCCAGATTCCTATAATACCGGGGGTGTCAGCCATCAACATTGGGATTGAAGGTGGTTCGGACAGGTCGGGACGATTTGTAGCGCCCGAGATTGTGGGTACACCTGAACGGACGGAGTTCAGCAGAAGTCCAGGGTGAGTATCTGATTACTTCCTACTGATCGTATCTGGAGCTGACGGTATGGAAGTCATGACGATGCTAGGACATCATGGTCTCGATCTCGTCACAACAGCACTAGCAGTGGCTCTTACGAAAGGAGAACCACTCGAGCACTCCCAATCATATTCTACAGGCCACTCTCCGAATCCAACGATAATGGGAGGCAAATTGACGATATGTGTGATCTGGTGAAGAGTCTAGATAAGAACGTCGCGAACACTCGGAGATCGTATCAAACAGTTGGTACACTTGGTCACGGCGACAGACATTTTGCAGCTCGCCACATAGAGCCAGCGATGACAGACAACCATGTGATATCACTCGATGAGAAGCTTCCAGAATCCGAGGATTGGCTGCTGTCCCGCCAGAAGCGTGTCGACATTGCACAGAGGCTTGCTCTAGCGATTGTGCAGTTTTGGTCAACGTCTTGGATTGACAGGTGGTGGACGTGGAGGGATTTCTCAGTCAAGGATGATAATTCCAGGGAGGTCCAACTATTCGTGACACGCACCATCTTTGCGCCAACATCCGAGGGAAGTTCAACCGGAAAGCCAGCAAGAATCTGGCGATTTCTTCGAGAACCACTACTTGTTCGACTAGGGTTTGCATTGATCGAGTTGGCGCTGGGCATGAGACTATCTCGGTGGAGAGAATTGCATAAGTATGGCAGCACGATTGGTGAGGGGCTTGGAGAAGATAGTCAGGATGAGAGAGACTATGATACCGCTTTGACTATTCTTGGTCGGAAGATATTGCAAGAGGACATCAGTGTGGCATATCAAGCTGTGGTAGAAGCATGCTTGATGTGCGAGGTAATTCGGGAAACAGGTGCAATTTCTCTCACAACGGCTGCGAATTCTTTCTCCGAAGATGTAGACCGCGAGATCTTGCAGCCGCTCTCAGAGTACTTCGAGACTAATTGGGGGGATATGAAGTTGGATTAGGACAACCGTATGGACAGGCCAGTATTCTCCGTCAGTCCCATTGAACCAAGACACGCATTTCAATGCTTTCCCTTCTGAAGTCCCCTTTGCTTGTGATGGGATTGTCGAAAGAGGCATGGGGAACCCCAGGATTCGCCCCCAGGGGCTCCTGCGAGTCAGCGTTCTTGAAGATCAGCAATTCTGTCGGCAACTGATTTGAGAGGTAAAACCATCTTTGTCCTTCGTTGAAATGAACTTGCGTATTCTCAAAAACGTGGTCACGATCGACGACATCGCCCGCCATCGTATCCCGTGCGAAGTCGACGGTCTGGGCATCGCACAATGCCAGAGGCCAATCGACCAAAGGCCCTCGAAGAGGATGCCACACGCTTGCAAGGCACCTTGTCAGCCCAATCACAGCATGATGTGGGTGGTTCCATTTGTGATGTATGTGCAGAAACAGACGTGGCAGAGTCTCGGGGCAGCCGAGTCGATGGTAAATATGCTCCGGGAACCACGGAAGCTAGTGACACGCTAGACAAGGCCTGGATATCGAGGCTTGCGAGAATGTTGTGTTGGGAACAGGAGCACAGAATTAAGGCTTACTTGACACACTGCCAGCGTCGCGCCAATATTGCATCTGCCTCCCCACCAAAGGTTTCCTGAATGATGGCCCTGCCACCTTCGTAGGTATGATCTGTATGGGGTAATGTCAGTAAGGCTTTGGGGCGGGGTATTCGGAGACGACAGCTCACCGATATGCGCCCTCGAGGCAGGCTGATTAAAGGCGTACAGACTTCCTGTTGCAATTGGCCAGTTCGGATCTCGCCGGCGCACCTACGTCGTACATGAGCAGGCGTGAGCCAGAGCCTGCTTCACTAGTCTATCAACTTTCCAGACTCAAGGTGAGTACTGACCACGTAGTCAAGTAAGTCAACTGATGTTGCTCCCAATGCCAGTCTCACCGCAACCATAACTTCTGGAGCATGGATTTTCTCGATCTTATCGGTGTCTGCGTAGTCGTCATACTGCAGGGTGGATGAGCAGTCGGTCACTGTGAAGCCACACTCGCTGTAATCTAAGGACCGAAGGCGCAGATCATTGAACTTGACTTCATGTTGGACTCGGTCAATGTTGCTCTGAGAAAGGCCGTCTTTGGGGCTTGGGATATATCGAAGCGTGTAAGGCTTTTCGTATTCGTATTTGGGGTTGCGAGCTAGAAAATGCAGTTGCGCCGTCAAACATGAAGGCGAAGGCAATGCCATTTTGATTGAGGTCGTAGAACGTGGGAAGCCAGCTTCGAACACTCAAACTGATTAGCCCCGGCGGTTACTTTGGAGGGGTAAGGATTTATGTTGAAAATGCATGTGAGGAAACGGGTGCTTACTCGAAGGTTGTGGAAGCCATCCTTCCGACTTCGGACAACTGAAAACACAACACACCGCATTATCCCCTTGCTGTATCTACGTGGCTTCTTGGTTTGTAAAACATGCAGATAGCCACTAAACCTAAGGAGACTTGCAGGTCACCAGGTCAGCATATGTTGCTTATGTGTGACGTTCGGTCAACCTAGCATGTACACCAAAATGTTCCTGTGATCGTTAATCTGTGGCTGAAATCTGCTTTTCGTGTGCTGTTCGTGTCAGCTCATAGTGACGCTCTGAAACAATTTTGTCATAATGGCTATAGCGAAGCGTGGCTCATTCAGCTCAAAATATGGGTGTGCCCGGGAAACTTTAGGCTTTAGAAGTAATTCACCTCACTCACGACATTTAAGTGTGGCCGTTGATCGGTTGACCGGTTTGGTTGCGAGCTGTTCGGTGTACTAGGTAACTTTTCAACAAATCCATACATATGAGAGAAGTTGATGATATCGTGGATTTCTTGACGCAATTGCTTACACGGAGCGCAGCTGATTCAATGACTGGGGTTGCCAATCGGGTTGTTGCTCGTTGGACGTAATTTTCCACCCATGATACCGCGGATCTTTATCTCTGACCGCCACATCATTGCTCGGCAGTAGTTTGAGCCAAGCGGTGTAGATTAGCCTGACAGCACCTGCAAAATGTTGAGGAAGCTTCAGGCTACTCTCTTCCGAGTGATACACCAGTCAAGTATTTAAAATCTTCCCAATTGCGCTTGCCGCCCTCTCGCGTCAGTCGCGGCCTGACTGAGAGAAATCTTTCCCTAGATCCACTTCATCTCCAAATTCATAAAGATTACATCCATCCTTACGATCAAGATTGTCTCAACTTTATTCATAGCTTCAAATTAGACATACTTTACCATCTCCAACGATTGAAAAAGTTACGTGCAACCGCTTCCCGAGGTTCTATGACCACCTTATAATCTTGAGATCAAAGGAGCCGAACGTCCCCTCCAAGACTTAAGTTAGATCAAACAGCGTACATCATCTAGTAACCCGGACATTCAAGCTATTACTACATTCCATCACGATGAACTGTTCGAAACCTACGAAGTCCCAACCTTGGAAGAAAACCTGGCCACCTCGAATTCAGGATGCAGACACCAAAGGAGCGACAGCTGGAGTGGACTACGGGGTTAAAAAAGGCGATATCGTCGTAGTTGACGGGACTAGCGCCAACCTCAAGCCTATTCATGGCCGTGTCTCGGACAAGATATGAGACCGGAGAGCTTCAACTTGTGAGTTAATTATATCGTGAAACTATTTATGTGTGAGGTAGTTTGGCTAACGCTTTGAGGGTAGTTTGGTCTTAGTTATCATACCTTGCTAGAGAAAACACAATGATCTTTTGAGAAGTCGTAATCTTTACGCTTCATAAGTTCTTGCAACTTTTGGCTAGGACTCAGAGGCCCGGACTTCCAAGACAAATATGTAGTGGAGAATCAAGATGATGTCTGTTTTTCTGGCAAGTAAATATCATATCTCTACGATCAATGACTAGTAAAATTCCTAGATCACCAAAGCAAATATTCATATGGCATTTCACCGTGTGCTATCAAGTTTGCATTGCGAGATGGAGTAGTCGTTGGTAGTGCGACGCGATGATGGGTCCGATACGGCTCCGTGATCCACTCAACTGATGTGCCACGGACCTTTCTACCCCCGTCTCACTGGACATCGATGTGTCTATTGGTCGCCTATCAATCATCAAATTATGGGAGAATATTGGCCGCGGAAGAACTGGCCGCTGGGCCAAGTTTCAGAGGTCATTTGTTGCGCAGTCGCCTGCTTCGCCAAAGAGACCATCTGTTTCTTGCTGGTGGAGAATACATTCTCGTCCTTGAACCCAATGGGAAAACGACTGGCATGCCCAACCTCGCCGCAGTTCTATTCCTTTACGACATAAGATGGATATGAACTCCACCAGGACCGGTGTCCAAGCGGTGATGGCAGTGCCTGGCCCAGGCTCCAAGCATCCTCTGTCTTCTTTACTGGCGCTTCCACAAAACAACAAGTCTTAGCCAGGCTCCCCACATACAAATGGAGTTGAAAGTCGCATATGAAATGACTGCTCTCTTGGCAACCTTCTTAAGCCATGTTACCTGCCACGCTTTGCGGTTGCGCCGATAAAAGCAAAGCACAAAGCTGAGACATAGGCCGAAAAGCGGTGGTATTCGCACCATTGCAGCCATTGTAAACATGGCAGCTCGGACAGAAATCTGCCACGGGTGGTTCTTTGGGCAGGCATCAAGGACAACTTCGTAGTGGTAGTAGTCGACTTGGGCATTTTTGGCGCAGACCCGCAGAGAACACATGCAGAGGTGTGAATGAGATAGACACCAACCAGATGGCGCCCTTCATTCAGCTACGACGTGTCGAATCTAGTATGAGTGGCAGCATTACGGCCAGCACATAGAAGCTGAGCCTGAGACGATGAGTTGTAATGATGAGCGACACTCGTATGCGCTGGGTCTTACTTGACTGTAGATGACAATAGCCTGGATTTCGACAAAAAGAAATGCTGCGGCCGTAAACAAGTCATATTTTGTGCCTTTAATTGCCTCGTAAGCGCGATAAAAGAGTCTTGATTTGCCGTTAGATTGCGATGCCTGAAGCATGTTGACCGAGGTGGATGATGTTTTTGTCGTGCTTGGCGAAAGCTAGAAGAGCAAAGCAACGTAGACGGTGAGTAAAATACACTCAATTCCGTAAGAAGCAAGAAGTTTCCAGATGGTAGTATTGTTATTGATTAAGAGAGTTGTTCAGTCCTATGTGTACCACATAGCCTTCGAGGCCGCCGTCAATCTCGGGCCTAATTGAATGGCACATCGAACTGTGGCATAACCATTTGTCGATCACTTGGCTGGCCAACTTAGTTCATTCCGTTTGAGCGTATCCAATTGTGCCAATCAATAAACTCGCGCATTAGTTGCATTGGTGCAGTCATGGCCTTCGACAGCCGTCAGCAAGCCGTCAATTGCTTTCGCGTCAGGAGTAATAGATAAAGTCGACAAGTTTCTCTCCTCTCGATGAAAAGACCGTAACAAGAAAACACCATTTACGTGGCGTTTGTTTACAAATATTTCTTATTTGAAACATTTACTTTAGCAATACAAGTTTCTACGTATGGGAAGATCTTGGGAAGATGATCGAGGTCCTAGTCCTCCTCGCGGGCTTATCTTCTACTTGAAGAATGGTATCTCCAGTGGCAAGATCAAAGTTTGTCCCCGAATATCTCTAGCCAGCGGCGCTAAAGATGCTCTACCCTTACAATATTGCAAAATAACTACATGCCTTACTCCTCAGTGCGCAAAACGGAAGTCAAGTCTTTGCTGTCCCTCGTCCGTGGTGTTGATAGAGTAGTCCTCCTGTTGCTCCTTGGTCATGGCGTTCCACCGCCTGTCGCGAACCTTGTTCCGCCAGATATAGAAGGCCTTGACAAAATAAAACAGAACAATGTTGAAACAGCAGATTCCGAGCAAAATTTTGTTTCCGCGGCGATACAGAGGCTGGTCGTCATCACGGTAGATGTTTGAAGCCGCGATGTTACCCGCCTGAACGAACATGTTGTACAGCGCGGCACTAACAGCTCTTGTTCGCACGGCATTGCTGTTCTTGGCATTCCATCCGACCAAGATCGCGTGACAGTAAGGGTAACTCAGCAGGCCCGTCAACAGCGCATATCTGATCCAAGTGCTGGTATCGGCAGGGAGTGCAACGAGAGCAACCAGCCAGGGGAAGATCCAGATGTTTGAGATGGAGGAAACGATGGCGCGCTCCTTGAACTTTCCGGAAACCCAAGAGATAATCAAGAGGTTGACGGCAAACAAGAACTGTGATGGGATGGCGAGAAGATTGGCCTGGAACGTCGAGAAGCCCAGTCGGCGCAGGATGTAGGACAAGTATGTGCTCGGCGGGGACGGCGGGATATAGGTGGTAAGGCCGATCAGGTACAAAGGCCACTGCTCCCAGTCCTTGATCGCCTTGAACAGAAGAGACGGTCCAACAGCCTCGCTGCTCAGTGAGTTAGTTGATGTCCACAGTGAGAGTCGTAGAGTACGAGTATCCATACCGGTTGTGCATGTCGCCTTTGCTTGGGTCGTCCCGCAGCAAACGGTTGACCATAATCAGCTCTTCGTGTTCGGTGAACCATCCATCTTTCCCACGGAACCAGTTCCTAGTCTGTGTAGGACCGGGCGGCATGAGACCCCACGAGAAGAAACCAATGATGAGTGTTACGATACCCTCGATAAGGAAGCTAGCCAAAGTCAGTTTTGAACAAAGAGCCCCGGTTGCGACAAAAACTTACAGCCATCTCCAACCGGCCCATCCTGCGACACCTCGCATCTGAAGTACACCAGCAGCGACGAGTGAGCCAACGATATTGACAGTGCTGAGGGCTGTCCAAAACCATGCGAGTCTCAGAGGCAACTCATTAGACTTGTAGAAGTATGTAAGCCATAGAACAATATCACTGCTTTAGGTTAGTACCTTGCGCTCTCAAAGCAAAGGTGGAAAGGATAGAGATTACGGGATGAATCCACCCATGAGAAGACCTAGCAGAGCCTTCACAGCGTAGAAGCCGGCACGGTTTGACAAGAAAGCCTGGCATCCTGCCGTAATTGACCAGCCAACCATGATCGAAGGGATCCAAACATCGGCGCCAAGCTTCTTGCTGACCAAACCACTTGGCAACTCGGCAGCGAGGAATGATAGAAGGAAAATCTGGACCATGCATAAGCCTATGAGCCTCACAAGATATCTTGTCGCATGCGGATACTAACAGTTTGTCCATAGTTGAAATCGTTCGTGGTCATGCCGAGCTCGGGAAGCTGGTGT